TCCTGAGAATTTAAAATATTATAATTTTGTTTTTGAAATCCCTAGTTAAAATAATGGTCACTTTCTCAAAAAAATTATTTTCCAATTTCGCATAGTTTAGGAAGAAATTGAAGTTATGTGTTTTTTTTTTCATATTTTAATTGCCCCATATAAAATTGTGTTGTGACGCTACTGTTCCAGGTATTGCAATGAAAATTTAATCACAGACTAAGGAGATCATGTACTAACCAATCAGTTTGACAGATGCGCCTCAGCTTAAAGAGGGTGTCCCAAATAGGGGGTGCCGTTTTGGGGAATTCAATTAACAAAATCTCAAGATTTTCAAATGGAACACCCTGTATTTTTATTCAGATATCAATTCTAGTATAAAAAATAAGGTAGCTTGTAATTTATCTTATATTTAAATTTTTCTTACTTTTTGAGATATTCGAGGTCTAAGATAACACCCGCATAAAGTCTTGTTGAATTTAAAGCTGCTCACATTAATTATCTAGCTTGATTGAAAATACCAAATAAAAATAAGTAATTAAAGTTGATAGGCTAATTAACCAAGGTAACAAATTTGAATAAATAAATCTATAAAACGAAAGTTAACTAAAAAGTGTTCGTTTCACCTGGCATCAAAACAATAAAGAAATATCAAAATATTTAAAAATGTAGTTGCCTGTGACCTCACAATCTTTTTTTGTATGAGCAAACTTTCACATTTCTGTTTGTTTTTGTTGTTTACATATTTCTATGAAAAAGTTCATAGTGGTCAAGTTTTTTGTTAGAATATATTTTATTTGTATTTTAAATAAGTTATAGTTTTTTGGTTAACCGATAAACTTTAATTATTAATTTTTGTTATTAGGTATTTTCAATCTAGGCAGATAAGTAACTATTATATGTTTCTTTAAATATGAATTTTGAAGTTATATTAAATCTGTTAAAGTGTAAGTATTGAGTCGATTTTTCTCAAAATCTCCAAGTATTATTGGACACCTTGTACTGTTAGTAATAGGAATTATTCGTATATATGGAGAATTATATCTTTAAAAGAAGTAGTATCGTGTCTTTGATATTTAAAAAATACCTATGACCTCGTGTTGGCAGCTTTAAATCTCAAAAAGTAAGTAAAATTTAAATATAAGATAAATTACAAACTTACATTTTTTTGTCCTAGAATTGATATCTGAATAAAAATATAGGGTGTTCCTTTTGAAAATCTTTTTGTTAATTAAATTCGCCAAAACGGCACCACCTATTTGAAACACCCTGTATAAGTTGGGGCGCATCTGTTAAACTGATTGAGTAGTGCATCAACTCTTTAATCTGTGGTAAAATTTTTGTTGCAATACCTGGATCAGTAGCGTCACAACACAATTTAATATGGGGCAATCAGAATATGAAAAAAAAAGACATAACTTCAATATCTGCCTAAACAATTCCAAAAATATTGATATATATATATATATATATATATATATATATATATATATATATATATATATATATATATATATATATATATATATATATATATATATATATATATATATATATATATTTCTTGGACTCTCCTGAACATTTAATATTATAATTTTGTTGATACAAGGTGTTACAAAAGTGTCACCTCCGATATCAACTTGGTAATGTTAAATGAAACAACATGTATATATATATATATATATATATATATATATATATATATATATATATATATATATATATATATATATATATATATATATATATATATATATATATATATATATATATATATATATATATATTAATATACGTGCGGTGTCCCTTGTTTTATTGCAGTGCTATATCGATTATATAGTGCATATTCAAATTATAAAGGATTATGCGGCGTGAAATATTGTGGTCACAAAGTTTCCTTACTAAAGTTTTTTAAATAATTTGAATTTTTTCCAAATGTAACCTAATTTTAATTTATAAATTATTAATGAAAGTTTTATTGCATCTAGTTTTATATGGTATTTGGAAATGGTAGATAAGTTATTGAGGTAGTCAATTTGGTCTGGTTATAATATGTTTATTAGTTGTTTCGTAAACTTAGATATTTTATCACTGCATTGTGCAATTTGTCTGATACTTTATGACGCCATGTCATTGATGCCAATTCCATTAAGAGTTACAATTTTTGCCATTTTCAAAAAAACATCGGGTGCAAGACTAGGTAGGTACTATAAACATATATTAATAATAGCTTGCATTTTGCAGGCTATAATGGTAACTAATAAAAACCAACTAAAAGTAAACCATTGCTAACTCTGCACAACATTTGTGGAGTTACAGCGTTAAAAGCATTTCCAATACAAATTTTCAACACAACTCCTTTCATGTATTCCCATAAAAAAAGGTTTGAGGTGTCAAGTCTGGGGATTTGGGTGGCAGATTGTAAAACCTATGTCTTCCAAACCACCTGTTTTTAAATTTGACATTTAAAACGGATTAGTTTTACCAATGCAAGAAGTTGATATCCAAGAAGTCCAAAAACATTATACCAGTTACCAAAAAATTGGAGTCAACAAAATATAAGCCTATTATTCCGCTCTGCACATTGAGGGACCACATTATGTGATGAAAATACAAAATGACTACCGCAAGAAATTATCTATAAGCATTTATTTAGATATCACCTAAAACCAAAATTTCTCGTATTCTACGAAAATACATAGAGTTAAGTATAGGACACCCCAGCAACTTTGCATAGGTAATTGAAAAATACATTGCCTGCTATGTTAAGAATATGACGTTATGGTGTTACGAGGACCTACACTTATTCTGATCGTATAATCCAAAAAATATGTTATCTAAAGAGGTCCATTTTAAAAAATAAAACTGTGATACTTTTAACACTTTTGGGACAACCTGTATAGTTAGAAAGAATTTGAAATACTTTTGAGAACTTCGTATTTTGTCCACAATATTTCGTGGAATATAAAATTTGAAACTGAGAAAATTGTCTCAACAAACCATAGATGACATTGTCCAAATATAGACAATGAAGGTTTGAAGTTTTTTTAGTCTCAACTAGATTCTTTATAGTTTTTGGAATAAATTACTATTAGGAAGTGTACTGGACACTGTCGCTTGCTATATGGTCCTTTATTGTCAACTTCTTGAGTCTGTTATCTCCTATGGAATTATCCAAATTTTAAAAAGAGTTCTCATTGTCATAATTACGGCACACAAAACAGTAACCCTTCTTATCTAAAGAAAATGGAGCTTTGGCAGATAGTATTAACACATTCCTTATTATTAAATGTTTTTTATAATATTAGTTCAGCTACACATGTAAGCAATACGGTCGTTCTGACATGCTTGTAAGACCGGCTTATAATGCTTGATTTTACCAAATCTATGCACTACAAATATGTTTTTTAAAAATATAGATTATCATTTTTTCTGAAAGTTTTTACAAAATTCTCTTAAATATATCGTAAACGGTAAGGAGAATTTGTTAAAAGATGATTATTTTGGATTCCTCATTCTGCTGGTATAAAAGTATCAAAATATTTATTTATAATTTTATCCATAATGGACGGATTGTAGCCGTTGTTCAGTGCAATTAGATTAATGATATTAAGTTCTTTGTTGTAATTTTCTGTTGAGAGTGGCGTATTAAGAAGTGTATAAAAGAGTTAAATGCAGCCATTTTGTGTGTATAATATATAATAAAACAAAATGTCCAAAATCTCAAAAATCAGGTGTCTACAGGTTGAAATGCGGATCTTGTGGTAAAATTTATATTGGACAAACAGGTAGATCCTTCAAGAAACGCATTAACGATCATAAAAGAGCGTTTAGAAACAATAGTCTGGATTCTAATTATGCTACACACTTAAACACAGAAGAACACATTTTTGACGACAATTTTGATATTTTACATACAGCCACAAAAAGTAGAAAATTAAATTTTATTGGAAATAATTAAGATTAACAAAATGAGACGTTCAAATGTATTGCTAACGATCAAATAGGTTTAAATACCTCTCCTTTATTGATCTTAAATTCTCACAACAACATTAATTAAAGTATTATCGTCATTTTTTGGTATATATATAGTAGCAGGTAGTTTGTAAATATTACATTTGATATAGAGACGGTGTTGTCGAAACAATTATCATGTCAAAATATATAATTTCGTGAAAATCTGAACTTTTAGTTATTTATTTTGATAAACGGATTTTCATCAAGTAAAAGCCACCTCAGTTCAATTTAGAAAAGTGTCCTTGTTAGTTTCAAATCGAGTTAATGAAACTTTCGCTTCGAAAATTGTATTGGGAGGTATCGTGTACGAGGCATTCAAACATTTAACATTTTTTTTATTAAAAATAAGAATTCGGCATAACTGGAATCATTTTAGATGGATGAAACTGCTGATAATTTAATTTTCTAAACACTTATCAATCACCGTGAATCGGCGTATAAGTATAAAAGTACGAATTAAACTTCAGTGTAATAGCAAAAAATATGTCAAGGAACTTAAACGAAACTAATGCAGAAACGTATGCCTCTGATAATGTAAAAGCAATTTTTCAAATCCATATTATACTATTAAATTGTAGTACTTACTAATCGTAAGTTATAACGCCAGAAATATGTTAAACTTATTTTTGTGATCGAATTATCCTTAAATACATTTTATTACAAAGTATAATTTTTCCGCTTCTTAAATGTCGTAAGAATTTCTGTTTTACTGATTTGTAACTGGAACCTCAAAAAGAAAATATTTTTATCACTAATCTCCAATGATGTCATTTAAAGTGTACCTTGTTAATCCAAAAAATATAATCCTAACACAAAGATGCCTTACAAATATTGAATGAGAAAACAAAATGTGAGGAAACGTCAATGCAGAGTTTTGCAAACAAGTAGGGTTTGATTTAATTAAATTAATTAATTGTAGTTCGGAAGTCTATTAGTTATAGTCATCAATTTTAACAAATTTCATTACTCATTATTTTATCAAGGAAGTCGCTTACCTCTGAATGCTGAAGGTGGATGGCTTGATACCTATCATCGCTACTGTATGTAGTCAATCCCACAGTAAGCAAATGGCGATCTTTCCTTCGTATCCAGGACACCTGAAAGTAAGACTGCATGAAAATATAGCAATTCGATTTACTCCTAAATTCTTTAAATACCAACTTCCATTTTAGTATGTCCATATTCAAGAACAATGAAAGTTTTTTTAAAATTTACAGTTATCAATTGGTTGTTTGATAACTAAATCGTATGTCAATTCAAGGAGAATTAGTGTATATTTGAAAACTGCATGTGTATTACAATCAACAATTTCGTCGCCAAGTGATGAGAAATAAGCATCAAAAAAACGATGATGTGACATAAAATGCATTAAACTGTAATACCACTAAACTGGAATTGGTTTTTTTTTCAATATTTCGAAAATAACTAAAGTAATAGAAGATTTTTTTACATTAAAATAAAAGTTTCTCACTAAACACTGGCACTGTAAGCAACGACCTCAGCAAATTTAATTAATAAATCCCCTATTTCCTTCTCCCAATAAGCACTCCGACCCTATAAAATGAGAGGCAAGCTCGTTCAAATCTACTTTATTATAAAATAAATTTCGGAGTTTCCAATAACACGTGAGTATTCCACTGTTTGTGTACAATTGGTGGGTGTAATATCCTCTTCAAATAAAAAATTCCATTGAAATGAAAAGATTATTTAGAGTTTAAAGTTGTACTAATTTTATTAGCATAAAAGTTTACTTAACATTTTTCAGTAAATATTTCATTTGTTAGCCTCGACGAAAGACAATTTTTCAATTTCGGGTAGGTACATTTTTTGTTTCGCTCTGTGTGTCATTGAAATTGAAATATTTGTAATAAAATATGTGCATCCACAACAGAAAATTCACATGTTGCAACTGTTGTAGTTGCTATTATTGTGGTAAAAATGTTTTGTTCCATCTTGAAGAAATATTCTACATATTCATTCGTACTTGCATTTATGATTTTATCATGTGATTTTTCTGTTGACGTGAAATTAAATATTAAAGAATTTACCACAGAGGTGAATATGTGGATATAGAAAAAATCGGTTACTACAAACATCCATATACAGGGTTATTATTTTTGATGTATAGAACTTTAAGTTGGCATTACTGTTCAAGATGGCGACAGCTGTCAAGTGATTTATTCTCAGTTTGGTTTGGTAATTCATCACGCCTGAACAATGCTTGCAAATAGTGCAATTTTATTTCGAAAATAATGGTTTTGTGCGGAATACGTATCGCGCACTACGTCCATTTTATCGTCGACAAAATCGTCCATCAGAGCAGTTAATTCGATTAACCATGGAACGTTTTCGCACCACGTTTACTCTTATTGATAACTCGCATCCCCACAGACACCGTACGGTGCCTACAGAGGAAGCTATTGCTGCTGTAGAGCGTAGCATTGAGGAAGACCCGAATGAGTTCATCCGCCATCGAGCACATCCATTTTATGGAAGATTTTGCGGAAGGATCTTGGTTTACGTGCTTGCAAAATCCAACTCGTGCAAGAATTGAAGCCAAACGATCATCAAGTAAGGCGTAGATTCGTCGAATGGGCCCAAAACGAGATTGCCGTTGTTCCCGATTTTCATAAGCGAATTTTGTTTAGCGATGAAGCGCACTTCTGGTTGAATGGCTACGTCAACAAACAAAACTGCCGCATTTGGAGCGGAGCTAATCCTCAAATGTAAGTCGAAACACCGTTACATCCAGAAAAACTGACTGCTTGGTCCGTACTCCTTCGAAAACGATGATGGCCAGAACGTTAAAGTTAATGGTGATCGGTATAGAGCTATGATTACTAACTCTTTCATTCCTGAATTGAATAACCATGATGTCCAGGAGATGTGGTTTCAACAAGATGGCGCAACATGTCACACAGTTCATGCCACAATCGATTTATTGAAAGCCATGTTTGGTGACCGCCTAATTTCACGTTTTGGACCTGTGAATTGGCCTCCAAGATCTTATGATTTAACACCGGTAGATTACTTTCTGTGGGACTATGTAAAGTCATTAGTCTATGCGCATAAGCCACAAACGCTTGACCATGCCAGCAATCATATTTAAAATGTAATGCCACAAGATTATCTTATTATTATCTCAATCGAATCGTTGTTGTATTGCAACTTAAAGTTCTATACATCGAAAAAAAAAACACCCCTTATTATTTCTTAATTATGATTTCTGTAATCTACAAAAGGGATATAAAGAAAATATAATGGGTCATAGATAATTCGATTAATAATTGAAAAGAAGCATTTTTTACAGACGATGTTCATTCTAATCATAATATCAATGTTTGACTCAATTTTTACGTTCACAAATATTTTTCCGATTTTAGATAGTGGGCTGAAGAATGTACTTGTATTTACATTAAAAAAAAAATTCCGGAACTGTAATAACAACTATAAAAAGAGGAAAAATTAAAAAAAAACGATTTGATGTAACAGTAACTCAATCCTGAATTGATATTGATAAGTAAGATGCTATTAAAAATAACCGGAGATACGCCAGTATATACGACATTAATGCACCAGTCTATGAAGCGTAATTAACAGGTGAGGTACGTTTATGCTGCGAGTACATTATGTCCAAATTGTTCAATTTACTCGATATATATACACTCGGATGATTGTAAACCGCAGGTGTATATAGTTGGTTCAAGTAAGGCACATTAAGTTGGTTTATTGTGAGGACACGGATGTGGACGATTTGTTTGTATATGATTTTTTCAATGACCTAAAAGAACGTGGAAATAAATTAGAAACCAAAAAAATGTCTAATCGTATATATTTGTTGTACACGCAACACAATATCAAAAATTTGTTCTAAGGGAAATTCAATATGTACATGTCTGAACAGTCGAACTATAGCAACCATTAAATAGAAGTTTTGATGCCCTTGTTTTGCACTTTATTCAGCAATTACAAAAAACGGGTAATTTAGAAAATAAACAATTTCCTCAGTGATGAAAAATGCACAAGAATACAATACAAACATTAGGAGAAAAATTAAATTTTATAATCGCGGAAAGAATGATGTAATGTCAATGTTAATACTTTTGCACTTTCTATATTAATAATTAGTATAATTAAATGCGAAATTTGCGAAACAGAAAACAAAGAACAACCAACGCATTTAGAATTGATCTCGGCTCGCCGAGTGCCGTTACTGGAAAGAAGAAGCACCATTTCTTATGAAAAAGCTAAGTTCGCGAAATAATTGTTTATGTACTGGATATACATTGTTACTATGAAATTAATGATAACGCCGGTAATATTTATAAATTCGGAAACAAATAATGTCTGATCCAAAAGCGCATAAATTTGATTTATGGGTAACAAATATATATTTTTTAGTATAGTAAAAAAGCAGTATTGAATAGTCTTTATGGGTATAATTAGTTGATTTAAATGGGCACCGCAGAAATTAATCCCACATCTGCCACCATTCACACTGTCCCACATGTCTTGGCTTTTGGATTAATAATTTTAAAACATAATGTCTTATCATGTAAATAGGGAAATAAATAACTTTCAAACTTTATTCCCCATTTCCTTTTGTTTCTTGAATTCTTAATATTTAAGGATAGATAAAACACATAAAAATGAAAATGTTTGTGAAAGTGGTTAGTCAATCTCCAATATCGTTAAAAAGATAAAACACCTTGTAAGTTACCAATAAAAAATAGAAATAAGAAACATGGACGAACTAATACTGAGTGGTACAAATATGATACGCAGCAAGATGCAAAGGCGAACCCCACACCTGCCACCAATCGCATTTTGACGGGTAATCCTAATTCATAAAGACAATTAACAGTTTAAAACTGAAAATAGGGAAGCGGCGATTTGCAATTGAATTGAATTATACTTCCTGCAGTTATACGGCCTTTCGCGGTTATTATTAGAAATAGGTTACTGCTAAAAAGGAAATTATTAAAACTAAATGTTCAGTCTGACTCGGACCAGTTGATGCTAATCGTGCTATGCTAAATCTAATTAATAAGATTACTAGATGTTTATAAAACCATATAAATAGTCAAGTGTCCCGTCATTAAACCGATATTGAATTCAATTCAATTCAAAATGGCTTTTGGGATATAAAATTTTTAATTTTATTGTAATTTAAATTAGTAAAAGATATTTATAATAATAATAACAGTTGGTATTTCATTTCATTTATATTAGCAAGAAGATTTTATGTAATGAATAATCGCGCTTGGAAACTATCGAGAAACGTTTTTGTTTATCTTTATATCTATATCGAATCGCTATATTGCTGAGCGTTGTTGTTGACTCCATAAAACAGCATGAATTATTCCCCCACTAAGATTTTTTATCCCCATGCCCGTAAATAAATCATTATCGCTGTATAGTTGCTAATTAGTAAAAAAAATAAACATTAATCACACTATTTCAAAGGCAACGAGTTTAGCTCGTGGACCAGAAAGTTGGCGTATCCATTTTGTTGCGTGTTATTGATGGAAATCCTTCAACTGATAACGTGACGCGATTCATTACGACCCATCATTTCGCTTTGACAATCATGATGTTATTTTGATAATGTCGGTTCCAAGCTCATCAAAATTGATTACACGTTTTCAGATAAGATGAAACTTTTTCACTCGTTCTTGCAAACTTTGCCGCAAAGCGACGATAAGGTAGTAAAAGCACTTATTTATCAATTTAACGCTGGGGCCGATTCCGAAGAATAATTTTTCCAGCCACAACACTCGCGCTAAATAAATTATTCATTCAATTAGAGAATAGTAGTTCATTTCAGATATCACTAAAAGTCTAGGCACCTTAAAGCAAGTGTGCTGGGGGTAAAATAATTTTCTTCTCCAGAGAGTTCGTTCACAAAAGAATTCCAGGGTGTTTCTTATCATATAAAATCCAATATCAAGCCGCTTTCTTCTATATACGTGCATCGCGTAGTGATTTCATGAAATATTTAAATCAGCACAAGTTTTAAGTAAGTAAAAAAAAAGATTTAGGAGAAAAATTAAGTTTTATCATTGCGGAAAGAATTGTGTAATGTCAAACGAATTTGTTCGTATTCGTA